ATGGGCTCCTTTATAGTCTTCCCATTCTCCCATTCAGCAGTATCTCCCATGTCGTGGTCAGTGTTAGCGTCCGCTTCTTCCTCCTCCTCCTCTTCTCCCTCTTCTTCGCCCTCGTCGTCGTCGTCGTCCTCACGAGGACGCCGTCTGGAGGAGGAAGTGGAAGACGCCGCTGACTTGACTCCCGGAGACAAATCTGAGTCACTGAACTTGTCGGCAGTGCTGTTCTTGGAATTGTTGTTTGTGCTAGTGCTGCCGTTGCTACCGTTGCTGCCATTTGAGTCACGCTTAGGCTTTTTTGGCGTGCGGTGCACCGGTGATGGCTTCACCACCACCACCTGACTAGTTCCAGGTGAGCTCTCTTCCTCCTCCTCCTCCTCGTCCTCTCCTGCAAAGTGGTGGTCATTCGGAGTGGCCACACTGCCCACTACTACAGTGGCACAGTTGTAGGGAAGCAGCTGAATGCCCAGTTGACGTCGGCACAGGTTAGTCAGTGTGTAGAACTGACGGGGAAGCATCGTTGCGAGTCCTAGAACAGACAGAGAGGAAAAAAGAGAAGAGATGCAGCGGAATTAGTTTGGTGGTAAACAAAAAAGCTCTGCGCCAAGTCAGTGTCCCTGTACAAGTACCCTCTTTGATGGCGATGGGCATCACCTTCTGCGTGATTATCTTTGCGTGGTAGTTTAGCAGACGGAGGTTGTCGTGCAGCCGATCGAGAATCTCCTTCACCGAGACGCCGATGNGTGTCCCTGTACAAGTACCCTCTTTGATGGCGATGGGCATCACCTTCTGCGTGATTATCTTTGCGTGGTAGTTAAGTAGACGGAGGTTGTCGTGCAGCCGATCGAGAATCTCCTTCACCGAGACGCCGATGCCCTTGGGCGACTCCTCGGTGGACTCCGGCGCGGCCTCCTCCACCTCGCCGATCACCTGCAGCACCTCGAGGACGACCGAGTGCGGCACCTCGCCCTCCCAGGCGACGATCTTCGTGACGCGCAGCATGCGGCCAATCTTGGAGGGCGTTCGGAAGGAGTACACCTCGAGGTTGTTCACCAGGACGATCAGCGACTGGGCGAGGGCGTCGTTGATCAGCCGCTCGGCCAGGCCCGGATCGGCGCGCACCTCCTCGGGGAAGTGCTTCTCCAGGTAGCTGTAGATGCGCTCCTTGTCGGGCTTCAGCTTGCGCGTCTGCAGCATCTCCACGGCGGCCACCACTGCGGCCGTGCTCGCCCGGATGCGCTCAGTGTTGATCTGGATGGTACCCTGCGGGTGCATCATAAAGGAGGGATGCGGTATGCCGCTGTTGTCGGCATAGGGCAGCAGCGATGGAGTCTCTCGAGCTGCCATGGTCTCAGTGTTGATTTCTCTCAGTAGAGTTGCCTGCTGAAGCTGTTGTTGTGGGGTGGAACGACGAAGCAGTTCAGGGGGAGGAGGAATAGGAGGTGGGAAAGGGGTGGTAAAAACGAAAATGGCACAGAGTTATTTGACTGGTACACCTGGGCTAGTCACTGGTTGTGTGCGACCATATGTGTGTGAGTCTGTTGCTCAATATTCGCTTTCTATTTCTCTCTTTCTCTCTCGCTCTGTGCTTGGTCAGCGCAGTCACTAGGCTACTTTACTTGCAGTGCAAGCCAATTTAAATGTATATTCACCTCACAAGGAGGTGGCGCCACCAGATCGGTGCTGATAACAATCTAGGTATAGTACTCCGACTCAAATTGTCTGGAGATTGGTGGCCCACAATGGGCAGAAGACACTGGATCACGACATGGCCGCCGCTAAAACAAACAAGCACAATGCAGTAGGAGCGTAGCGAAATGTACCGCTGAATGAGCGCAAGTTACGAGTCCAAACATTGCCAAACGCAGCAGCAGCAGAAGCAGTGGCTGCAGTAGCACACTTTGGTAGTGCGAGAGCCCCATAGAGCGGAGTGGGCAGATGAGTGGAGTGAGGTTAGGTGCGATACGGCGAAATGAAACAGGTACTAACCTCTTTNCCGTAGAGCGAAGAGGGCAGATGAGTGGAGTCAGGTTAGGTGCGATACGGCGAAATGAAACAGGTACAAACCTTGTTGGGAACGGCGTTTCGCCCTTAATGAGCTTCCTGAAAGACTACCTGGCGGTGATGAGTGGTCGGCGTGGAGAAGGCGGTGGTACGAGCACGGCGTCGAGTATCGTGCGCCTACCAACACTTGTGCGCTGCAATTAGTGCGACAACAGGTCAGGAGGAAGCTGCGAGGACGGTGCGCAATTAGCTTACACGAAAGAGTGTCGCACCTGGGAGTGCTTGATGAGTCCACCAATTAGTGAATCATAAGAGTGAAAGGTTAGAAGTGTTCAGGTGGTGAGGTCGAATGTGGAAGACCAGTGGAAGAGTGTGCCAGTGGCAGACAGGGGCACTCTCCAGAAGAGCACAGCTCAGTAAAGAGGTGAGCACAGATGAAGAGGGTCGAGGGCGAGTTTGGAATCAATCAGCAAGGTTTGCTAATGAATTCTACGCCCCGTAGAGCCGCTTATCAGAGAGAGATGAAGGTGTGATTGCTGGTGCGATGATGCACTGCGATGATCCGCAATTCTAAATGCTCCCTTCGCTCTTGGTCTGCAGCGGCAAATGAAAACACAGGCAGGCCTCCATCAAAGCGACACCTAGCGTGAAGTCGGTTTTCCGAAGCAAATATTAATTCTTTGCAGCCATTCTTGGGGGTAGTCGGGTAAGTTTTCAATACCACAAAAATAAACCTAACCGGACACAGCTGCAGCGCAGAATCAGCACGACACAAGCATTTTGACAAGCTGACAAGTTGTGAACCCGAAAACTGACCAGGTAGTTCAGTGTGACGATGGTGGTGGTGAGCAACAAGGGAAGATTGGCTTACAAAGCAAAGGATTCATTGATCTGAAGTTCAATTGTCAAAACCTCAAAACCTTTCACCGAATGCTAGTAAAAAGGGTAGAAGGTCTACAGGAACTTACGTTTTGAAGTTCTTGAATATGTTGATTTCTTGAATTCTGGTCAAAACGATGCATCGATACTTCGATGTATCACAATGGGAAACAATCGTCTCCCCAAAAAAAATAAAAATCACATGTTTGTTTTGGTGCCTGATCTTCTGCATCTTCTTCTTCGGTTGAAGCAAGTTGAACTGACCACCGTTCTCCCAAACACCTAATCATGGTCTGGCCACACAAGGCCGGCTTCGGCATCAAGCTGGTGCGAATGGGCTGCAAGAACCGACCGTACTACCAGATCGGCGCAATGCCCTCACGTCGGCGGACCGGTCTTCTGCCCGACGAAGTCATCGGCTCTCTCGATCCCATTCCCAATGAACGCAACGAAATTGTGGCCGCCGTCGATCTGAGTCGACTTTCCTACTGGCAAGGGCGTGGCGGCAGACTCAGTGTCGGCATGGAGACACTACTCGGTAAGTACTCCGCCGCTGAACACTGACATGGAATATCTTCTTACTGAACCTTCGTTTCTACTTTAGGGTTAGCCGGCTGGACACCGGTGCCGCCGCATGTGTACCTCAAAGCGAAGGAGGAACGCGACAAGGAGGCCACTGCCAAGAGCAGAGAAGGTGAGGGGAAGGAAGACGAAGAACCTCAGGTGGAAAGAGTACTCCCCAAGAAGTTGCCATTCTAGTTGCATTGGGTCAGTAGGAAGGTGCCTTGCCTGTACATAGTAGATGTTTGCTTGTTTCTCAAATAGATCTTTTTTATTTACATTCGAATGATGAAACATGTGTGGGGGGTTTATAATTTATACATGAAATTACTCAGCTAGCTCACTGAATGCAGCAGCTGCTCATTGCTCGTGCTGTTCATTGCTGCAAAAGAATNAGAGGGGAAGGAAGACGAAGAGCCCCAGGTGGAAAGAGTACTCCCCAAGAAGTTGCCATTCTAGTTGCATTGGGTCAGTAGGAAGGTGCCTTGCCTGTACATAGTAGATGTTTGCTTGTTTCTCAAATAGATCTTTTTTATTTACATTCGAATGATGAAACATGTGTGGGGGGTTTATAATTTATACATGAAATTACTCAGCTAGCTCACTGAATGCAGCAGCTGCTCATTGCTCGTGCTGTTCATTGCTGCAAAAGAATTGCTGCAATGTCTCTGAATCGAAGTCAAGTCAAAGTCTAACATCACACAGACAAATGAAGACTCGACTTGAACACACTTCGAAAAGCACAGAGAGCTAGCTAAAGCTGGCGGGATGAGGAGAAAGAGGAAGAGAGGAAAATGAGATAGAGAGAGAGAGAGAGAGAGAGAGAGGTGGTGTGTTTGGAGAAATGGCATCAGCAGCGGCCGAGTCGGCGGTGGTCTTCTCCAGCTGTAGCACAGTTGCAAACTTAATAGGAGGAAAACAAGGAAAACAAGATGGTACAAGGTAGGTAAAAGAATAGAGAATGGAAGAGCACAGAAGAAACGGAGAGAATAGTAATAAATAGAATTATAACGGAGTGTGGGGGGAGGGGGTGTTCATCCTCGGTTCTGTCTTTTTGGGGATGGCTGCGCGGTGGAGGTTGTCTTGAGAGAGAGAGAGAGAGAAAGAAAGAGAAAGACGGTAGAGGTGTGTTGTTAAAAAGGTATAAACCCAGTTCAATCAGTTTTTATTATGACTGGTAAGGGAGAGACGAGGTTAGCCATTGTGCAAACGGTTACTTGTAGTGTGGTGGTGATAGTGATGGTGGTGAATGCTGTTCCTCTTCGTCGAATACTAACAGCTGCACAGAGGAGTGTGTTTATGCTTTGTTTCAGCAAGCGATGGTGGAACAGAGCTGCTGAAGCACAGAGCACAACACCGCTGTTTTTGTTCATCATTAGCCGTCGCCCTGCGGTGGAGTGTACCAGCCTGTGCAAGAAGAAGAAAGGGTTTAGTGAAGTTAGTGGAATATCAATGGCGGCGGCTAAAAGAAGAAGTACATACCGCTCTTTTCGTGAATCTGCACTAATGAGCGAAATGATTGCTGAGCTCGTGCAAGGTTGTACTGACCCTAAAAGAAGGAAAAGAAGAAGAAGGTAAACACCATGAGAATCACTGTTTTTCACTCCTCCGCTGCTGTACTTACCCTGCTGCTGCCGGTAAAGGAAATTCGAGCCTTTCCTTTGACAAGGGTCGCTGAGATCTGTAGAATGATGGCCTCCATCGAGTATGCGCTGCTCCATCCCTGGAGAAGGTGGAGAAAAATGTTAGCAAGATGATGATGGTGATGGGACAATCTCTAAAAGCATTCCGTACCTGTTTGGTGAGGAGCTCCATGCAGATAGCACCGCCGCCCAGAACGTAGCCGCCGTTGATGAAGGGGTGGACGACGCGAATAAAGGGAGGCTCAAAGGGGTAGGTGTCCTTGAAGATGACATTGAGTAGAATGGAGTCCCGGCCCTCCTTCTCCTTCAGCACGGCCAGGTCGGCGTGCAGCTGCGAGTCAGGGTCGACCTTCATCAGGCGGACATTCCACTCGTAGAGGTTGTCGTTGATAAGCTCCACCGCAAAGACGCCCTTCTTGACGCTGTCACTCTGAAAGACCTCGCGCAGCTCCTTCATCAGCCGATCAGTCGCCTGGACGGAATAGGCCACCGAGCCGTTCTGGTAGTTCTCCCGTTGGTTCTGCCGTATTCGCTCCAGCGTCGCCAGGTCCTCCGTCCTGATGCCGTCATTGCTCTGATTGTCCGGTCCCTCCTCCTCCATTTCAATGTGAATATCAGCGTCGTCGTCCATGTCCTCGTCGGAGTTGAGGTCGTTCAGGTCGTCGTCGTCCTCGTCAATGGACTCGTGCTTCACGGTTGATCTGACCTGGACCGTAGAGTCGCTGGAAGTAGAGTTGGAGCTGCGAGCCTTCTTATTGCTCTCCGGGGCCTGCATGGCCGCTGCGTGCTGCTTCACCGCCGTCGATGAAGTCGTGGTGGAGGAGATTTTTGGCAATTGATTCAGCCTTGCAGCTGCAGAGGTAATGTGGTTGATTTGAGATGAGCCGAAGGAGTTCAGCGAGGAGATAGAGCTGGTGGAGGAGGAGTTCGAGGAGGAGAAGGACGACGAGTGGCCGTTCTCGCCATTTTCGACCGGCAGCAGACTCTTCGCCGCCGTGCCATTGCTCACCGCCGGACCGTTGCTCTTGTTGAGTCGCTGGTTGAGCACAATTGACTGGGTGGTGTACGGGTTCAGCCACTGATCTCGCATCTTCACCATGTCTGCCTCTGGAGGGGTGATTTTAAACTGGTGACACAGGTGCTCCAGCAAAAGGACAACTTGACCAAGAAGCTACGGGTGGTGAAACGGGGGAAAAAATATAAACATGTCAGTACACAATCAGCAAAAGGCCTTTGAGCAAGCACTGCTTACATAGTTGTCATTGCCCTCGGTGGTGGCTAGAACTTGGACTGANTCTTCACCATGTCTGCCTCGGGAGGGGTGATTTTAAACTGGTGACACAGGTGCTCCAGCAAAAGGACAACTTGACCAAGAAGCTACGGGTAAAAAATGTAAACATGTCAGTACACAATCAGCAAAAATGGCGTTGAGCAAAAAAAAGCTGCTTACATAGTTGTCATTGCCCTCGGTGGTGGCTAGAACTTGGACTGAGCCGGAGATATCATCAGAGTCGGAGAACCACACCGGCGGGTCCGAGGGGTAGTTCTCGGTTATGTTGGCATTTATAGAGTACTTCTTCTCACTTGATCCCTTCTTCACAACAAAAGAGCAGGTTATCTCGTCGACGGTGGCGCTCGTTACTCGAAACAGCGAATGCGTAGGCGGAAATATCTCACACAAAATGCGAATATCGGATTTCAGGCGATTGAGACAGGCCATATCTGAGAGGTAAGAGGACATTGAGTTATCAGCATTAGTTATTCATCAACAGCATTTTAAGCATTCTTTACCTTTGCATGAAAATAACGTAAGATAACTTTATAGTAAAAAGTATGGAAATCGGTTGAAGNCATCAACAGCATTTTAAGCATTCTTTACCTTTGCATAAAAATAACGTAAGATAACTTTATAGTAAAAAGTATGGAAATCGGTTGAAGCTTGACCCAGGTAAAAAGAGAACGGTATCAAAAGCAGGCAGTATCTGTGAGGATAAAATAGAACATTTAGAATCTGACAATTCAATTACAAGTGGACAACTGACAGATGGAGAAACTTTGCAAGTTACGTCGATTGTTTTTGTAGAGAAAGATCACTGAAGCTAGAAATGACCCATTGCTGGGGCGATTTTCAGACTAATTAATGCTATTGAACTTCACAGTGGTTGTTTGGTGGAAGAAGCAGTTCCGTTGGCTGGTAGCTAACTTAGATAACACGCACTTTAGTGAGAACACCTTCACACTTTCGCAGACACGGCGGCATTGGACAGCAGTAGGCGAGAGCACAGCACAGGTCGAGCGAATTCACTTGGGCGCTAGAAGACATTGCAGGGCAAACAAAGCATTGCCGACTCTTCTTTTCTTTCACTTTTTTCAATTGAGTTGCGGTATCCTGGTGGTGGTGGTGGTGGTGGTGGTGATTTAACTTGACTCGCCAATAACAACAGAGTAAAAACAATTCGCTCGCAGACAATGATTTCAAGACAGACGTAGAGTGCTGGTGCTGGTGGTGGTGTTGGTAGTGCTCGGCTGTTGGCAAGTTCGTCTGAGTCGGTCTGGCTCCGGGGCCTGCTGGTGGTGGTGGTGGTGCACTCGGTAGCGCTCGTGTGGTTCGGCTCGGGTTCGGCTGTTTCTAACCGTGAATGAGAAAGAAAGAAAGCTGGTGAAGAGTTCTATATGGGCCAACATGCGAAGACCCCAAAAATGACGACAGTCTGCGAATGTTGCAAAGTGCGGAGAGAGCGTTATACAGTGTGAGGGACACCGACACAGTGAAGGCGAATTCGGGTGCGCTCGCTCACACAGACGGAGTCTTGCTGGCTGGTAGAGTGTGCTGTACTGGTAAACAGGCGTCGGTGAGGGCGAGAGAGTGAGTGAGTGAGTGAGACTGGCACGATGGCCAAGCAGGAGAAGAAGGTATCGTCAAGGCAGGCAGTCACTGGGAGCAGACACTGGAGAATGGTGGTGGATGGACGCACAGAGGCACACACACACAGGCTCAAGTGAGTAGCTGCTGCTGCTCCAAGGGAAGACCGAGCAGACGATGGCACTGGAGACTGGAGAGACTCACATTCCCCGCAGACGCTTTCCCTTCCACAGTGCGCCGCAGTGCTGCCCTCTGTACCGCTGACTGCGAGAAGGTTGACCTCTTCGAGCGCCGGGAATGAGCGACGCTGCGTGGATTGACTCGCTCAGAGCGCCGCGTTTGGGTCGACTGGCCGCGAAAAGCTCTGCGACTCGCAGTTGAGGAAAGGGATCGAGTAGCTGCGGTTGAGCTTTACGTCTGAAGATGACTCAAAGGTGAGGCGATCAGCACTCGGTGAGAGACACTGCGCAATACACTGCTGGAGGGCGCTGGTGGGCGCTGAGGTGTGGGCACTGGCCACCTCTGGTCAAGACAGTCACTGCCTCGATGAAAGTCGTGGTCCTCGGCAGTCTCTCTTCAGTGCTTCCACTAGAAGATGTTTACATTTCTTCAGTTCCCCTTTTCTTTCTTTCTCTCTCTCACTTCTTCCTTCTTTGGATGGTGCGTCGCATCAGAAGTGCCATCAGAAGGCAAGAAGGCGCCTGATGGAGGATCACTGCGTTGCGTTGAGGCATTGCCGCCGCTGCAACAGGATATCTGATCAGATTGATAGATCGAAAGAAGGACAAACTGTGTGCGTCAGATGACACTGCCCAGTTAGTAGATGGCTGAAGGAAATAAAGCTTTCCTCCAGGTCTAAAAAAGGGAATTCAGCTCATTCCTTCTGGTGGAACGCGCCGCTTGGTGGCATTTCCCGAACCTTTTTTTCACTGAGCGTTGGCGGAATAAGTGCTCCACCGTCGCTGATGCCAATGTACGAGAACTGGCCGGGAACCCATATTCAAGCGACTCCCTGGAGAAGAAGAAAAGGACTGAGAGTGGAGAAGCAGGCAAGCAGTTCCAGGGAATCACTCAGCAGTTCGGACTCAACAGACTGACAACAGCCGTTTGCTCACTGTCTCAGCAAGTGCCGATTTGGACCGGTGAGAGAGAGCGAGAGTGCCAGTGGCAGTGTGGGCGACGGCGCCTGAGTAGTTGCTCCTACTAACCCAGCGAAAGCGAGAGCGACAGCCAGCGAGTGGCAGCCAGCGTTCCGAGCAGCAGCAGCAGCCAACTGCAGACAATGAGTACAGCAGCTGCAGAAGTGCACTACTGAGCATCTCTCAACGCCGGTCGCCAACCTCTTTTCAGCAGCACCAGCATCTCTCCACTCTCCTCGACAACACCTGACCAAGCATCATCATCATCACCATCTTCACTACCAGCCAAGCTTTGTTCCAAATGAGGTCCCAAGCCAGCACCAGCAGCATCGCCTCCGACAGTGTCTCTTGTCGCACCTTCTTCTTCACCTCTTCATCACCCTCCTCCTCCTCCTGTTGTTGTTCTTGTCCCTGCTGCTAAACAGCTGTTCACCCACCTCACTCACTCCTGCATTTCTTCCTTGATACCTCTGTACCAGCAAAATGGCCCACAGTTGTTGCGCCCACAATGCCGAGGATACAGTGGCCTCCGCCGCCAAGCAACTGGCGGCACTTGAAATGGCCATGGACAAGGAGGTACTGGACGTCCTCAGCAAGTTCATCATCGACGGCGTCCTCTCCTACGAGTCGATGCAGCCTTTGGAGCGCTTCAACAAGACACTCATCAACCAGAACCTCGACGTCTGCTCCATTGTCTTTCCGGCACCCGACGAAGACGGCGGGTATGCGGGCGGGGCGGCCGATCACCATCATCCACCTGCAGCAGCAGCAGCACCAGCCGCGGAGAACAGTTGTCTGTACCGGCTGACGCCGCTGATGTTGGCGGTCTTCCACGGGCGCACCGCCATCGTGCAGTACCTGCTGGAGAACTACTCGCCCAACCTGGAGGTGGAGGGCACGCTGGTGATGGACCAGTCGGCCGTCCAGGGCGTCACCGTCCTCTGGCTGGCAGTCAGCTGCAAACAACAGGAGACGGTGCTCTCGCTGCTGCAGCACGGCGCACAGATTAACCACTGCACCAAGTAAGTGCACTGTTTTAAATCCAAAGCTGTTCCAAACACATATTTTAACAATTTTACTTCCTTTCCAGGTCCGGTTCATCTCCGATTCGCGTCGCCTGCTTCGACAACAACATCGACATGGTCAGCCTGCTGATCAAGCACTCGGCGGACGTCAACCTGCCGAATCACTTTCAGAACACCTGCCTGATGCTCGCCGCGCACATGGGCTACGAGGAGGTGGCCCGGCTGCTGATCGAGGCCAATGCGGACATTGACCGGCAGGCGCTGTGCGGCGCCACGGCGCTGCACTTCTCCGCCCAGCAGGGCCACAACAACATCGTCAAGCTGCTGCTGTACCACGGCGCCCGCTTCATGGTGAACAACAACGGCTTCACGCCGCTGTACGTCGCCGCGGAGAACACCAAGGAGGCGGTGGTCAATCAGATCATCGCCATGCCCAATCTGACGACGCTGGAGGAGCGCATCACCGCCTGCGAGCTGCTGGGCGCCTCCTACGCGACCACCACCGACCGCCTCGACGACTACCGCTTCATCCTCCAGTCGTACACCTGGTTCTACAATGCCTTCCTCTCGCGCTACTCCAACAAGCTCTCTCCCACGGAGGGCGGCAGTTCTGCTGGAGGTGGTGGTGGGGGTGGTAGTGACACTGACGTAAACAACGCCGCGAACGCCTTTGAGCACAGCGAGCTGCCGAAGATCGCCAAGCCGACGCCGAGTGAGGCCCTGCCCGCCTACAACTACCACCGCGAGTGCCAGACGCTGGCCGAGCTGAAGGCCATCAAGTCGAATCAGATTCGCATGCTCTTCGAGTGTTTCGTCATTCTGGAGCGCATTCTCGGCACGAAGAGTCTGATTCTGGCGGAGGCGCTGGTGATTCGAGGGGCAGAGTTTGCCGATGTCGGCCAATTCGGGNCTTCGTCATCCTCGAGCGCATTCTCGGCACGAAGAGTCTGATTCTGGCGGAGGCGCTGGTCATTCGAGGGGCAGAGTTTGCCGATGTCGGCCAATTCGGGCAGTCCTGCCTGCTCTGGCTGCGCGCCATTCGCATCAAGCTGAACGCGAAGGTCTTCATCGGCGAGGACTACCTCCGCTTCATTCGCGTCCTCGAGCGGATGATCCAGGAGCGGATCGCCTACCACGAGTACATTGAACAGCTGCTGGAGCTGTGCATTGAGTACTACACACTGCGACCGAGGCTGTCCGGCTACCGGAAGCTCTGCTACCGCGTCAATGTGGGCAACCCGGACGCCTTCGATGAGTTCACCTACAATGAGCTGAAGCGCGACGTGACGCCGGTGCTGAAGTGCAACAACAACCTCGACCTCTGGAACAAGCTCGACTCGGACGTCGACTCGGACCAGGTGCTCCTCGCCACGCTCTACCTCAGCACCTTTGTCGCCAAGGTAATTGAGGAGCTTTACAAAAAAATGTGACGTCTAACTCACCCCTTGTTTTTGCAGTTCATCAACGAGTTTCCCGACGACTCTGGCTCCCGTCTGAAGAAGCTCTTTCACCGCTTCTGCAAGCTGAATGTGACGCAGAACATCAGCGGTCGGACGCTGCTGCACCTGGCCATGTGCCAGGAGCCCGATGAGGAGTTTCACTTTAACAACCGCTTTAACAACATTCTCATCAGGTTTGGCAGTTTTTTTAAAGTGTTTTAGAAACTTTCTTATTTAATCTGCTATTATGGTAT